TGCATGGCACCATCCTGTCAGGTGGACTTGTGTCAGTGCGGATGCTCGTGGCTCCACCGTGTCTGTCTGTCTGTGTGGGTGGCTGGTGTTGTCAGTTTCACTTCACTTCGCTGCCTCTTTGCGCTCAGTAAATCTTGCCTGATGAGAGGAAGAGGCACCTTGAGGTAGGAGGGGGAGGGAGGAGATGCAGAGCAGAGACTCCCTTGGGTGGCAAGTAACCTTGTTGCTTCCTCTGAGCAGGGCGTTTCATTCTGAGTGGAGGCTGTATAGAAGGATGCTGCTTGGGTAGTTCTCTGCTCCTATCTGGGCTGGGCTCCAGCAGGCCCCAGAGATGGCTGTCTCCCTGGGAGGGATCCCAAGCGAGGTGCAAGGTAAGCAACAACCTTCTCTGTGCTGTGCCAGATGCAAAGGTCACGCAGAAAATGCTGAGATGATGGCCCACGGCTTTGCTTTCACTGCCTGCTTTATTGTTGGGGATGATCCCGTGGGAACTGGATCATTGCTTCTTCATCTCCAGTTGCTAAGGTTCTTGGAACTGCATCATGAGACTGGGATTCAGTACTCCTGAGTTCTTTGTTAGTTGTGATATTGATTTGCCAAATGAGCTTGGAAAAATGGATTAGTCCCAAAGTGTCCCATAACTGTGGATACTCATCTTGAAGCCTGATTTTCAGAAGTTCTGCATGTCCATAGCTCCCAGTGGCTCTAACAACATTTGCAGGTTTTGGTACCTCAGAAAACAAGTCTCTGTGAGTCCCAAGTGGGCACTCAGAAGGGAAGATCCTCCCAGAGCCCCTCAGGCTCCAACGTAGCCACTTTAGCAGTAACTGGCCAAGCAAAACAAGGCCCTTCCTTTAACTTGATGGCATTTCTGCTTGTCTGCAGCACAGTGACTGGGAGCACTGTATCTGATCTCTTCCAAAACCTCATAGAAAGTTTTAGACATTCATGGGGGACCCTACTTTTTATGGTGAAAACGGTGGGGGGAAAAAGAAAGGGAAAAAGTGGGGGATAGACCAAGTCCCTGGGACCTGGTTAACACATCCATCTGCTTTAATCTGGTCTGTAGATCCAATAGGGGTTTTCAGCTCTCCCTGTCCCTGGCTTAATTTCTCTGTGGTATTAGTCAATGTGGCAACCAGCACAGTGGCAGCTCTCTCAAATTGCCCTGGAAGCAGGTGGTGCTGAAGAGAAACTAGAGTGGGTGAGATCCCTACCCACTACTACATTTGCAAGGCCTTGGAGGTCTGAGAAATCTTCCAATGGGATCAGAAAGGGACTGCAGACTGCTAAACAAAACCATTCACAAATTTCAGGGATATTTTGATCTGTATGCAGAAAACCCAGGTAAGACCATTCTGTTCCAGTCAAATGAAAGCAAGCTACTGAATTCAAACAGTTAGCAGTGAACTAATTGTATCATTTGTGGTGTAACTGATACCCAAGTTGTAGCAGGAAATTGACCTGACATTGCAAAAAAAACAATAGATAATTGCAAGACTGGTCAAAACTATTTTTTCGGAATGACGACTGAATTGTAGCTAATGAAAACACTCAGCAAAGTGGAGGACAAGAGACAAAAGGCAGATGAATGGTAAGAACTGTTAGCACAGATTTTGGAATCGACCAGTGCAATTGTGCAACATATTGATGTATCTGATACAAGTAGTATCATATAAAAATAACTGCTCTGCAAGTTTATTGTTTTCAACTGAAAGGAACGTGGAAGTAAAATACAATCTGGATGAAGGACAAAGCTCTGATGAAAAAGGAAAAACGGGTTCTCTTTTGGGATCCTTCTTGCTAAATGTTCAAAGTAAGCATTTGTATCAAATCACTGTCTGATGTTAAAAATACACAAACAAGAAGTAAATTGAATAATAGATAACAAAATCAAATATGATGTAATATAGTTAGAGAGTACAGAAATTAATAACTGCTCAATGTCAAAATGAAAAACTAAGCTTGTTTGAGAGAGAGCAGTCACTTGATGAGCCCATGTGGAAAAGCCACATGGAGTAGAACGTCTGCATGAGTAGGGATTCTATGTAGGAGAGCTTGAAATAGTGGCGCAGGACGTCAAAGGTATAAGCAACAGCTAGCAGTGCAAGAGAAAGAAAAAGCAGCACGTGACCAGATGGTAGAATCGAGTGCCTTTGAGCTAAGAGCCCAACTGACAATGTTAACAGTATGCTCACAAACTGCACGTGAGTACAACCACACAGTTGTGGAAGGCATCTGTGCAGGAGCCTTGGGAGGCCAAACTTGATGCAGAAAGTGCCAACTACTGAGCTTCTAACTTCTCTTTTAGCAGATATATGTTCCAGAGTTTTCCCTGTAGAGCTGTGTCTGCCTGTCTGCCAAAACATCATGTGTCTAATCTATGAGTCTAGATGAAGCAGAAGTCATCTATGACAATCTGAATGATCTGGGGAAGAAACGATTGGCAATCCCAGGACGTGTAGGGCCCTGCAGTGTGGCAACGGGAAGAGGCTTACATGGAACAAAAACAGACTCCTGGGTGGTCTGCATGAGATTCATTGCAAAGGACACGCGCTCAGGGACAGGGGTGTTTACCTGGCTCAGAGAAAGTGAAAACAACTGTGCAAATGGAAAGAATCCAAACAAAGAGACATCAAAGAGCCACAGCTACTCGGTTACCATATCTGAGCATGTCAGCCAGTTCAACCCTAATTTGAAAGGGAAAAACTCTGCTTGAGGAGGGGATGTAAAGCTGAAAGGTGACAGTAAGAGAGAAGAGGTTTTGGGAGCTAAAGAGAATTGTTTTTACAGCAGGCAAGGTTCTTTGGGTAGATGTGATCTCTTTCATTAGACCAACTAACTAGTTGGAAGAAAGTTATTTGCAAGCTTTTGGGCACAAATACCTTCTTCAGGCATTCTAGCACTATGAAAAAGCCCAAGATCTGCTGTGTTTTGAAAACAAGAAATGGGTATACGATCAGAAAGCCATTGGTGTTTAGAGATGGTAGATGTTACTGTAGTTTCTCTCATCACACCTCCTCAAATAAGATACATACCTTGTTTCTGGTTCACTGTGATGTAGAATGAATCCTCCTGGAAACACAGAGTTCAGGAAGTGTGGTCATGCCAGGAGACGGTCTGAATGAGGCAGCCAAAACTTCCTCATGTGACAGAAGAGCAACAAAACTGAGGCCCAGAGCTTTGCAGGGGCAGTAGCAAGACTGCTACTTCTTTCCTATAAATCAAGGGAAGTCCTGCAGGCCACATCCAGCCCACAGAACCCTATCATTCAGCCCTCAGTGCTACCCCTGAGTATAACCTGACCCGCATGGTGCTCACCTGATGGGCACTGCATTCAGGATGTGCTGCATGCGGTGCTAGGTCCAAGATCTGCACCTGCCCCAGCTGGTCCAAGACTGTGCTGCATGGGGCACCTGCTCCGGCTGGTCTGGAATCTATGCTACAGGTGGTACTCCTCCCAGCCAGTCCAGGATGCATGCCACACATGGTGCAGTCCTGGACCAATGCCTTGGCCCCTCATGCAGCATGGGTTACAGACCAGTTGGAGTGGGCACCACATGCCCACTCTGGGATCCACAATGCATTGCGGATGCTGGATCTGGCATGGGGATGGAGTTGGGTTGTGGGCCCAGTCTGGCCTGTGGATTGGCCCCATACCATTCATTCAGCTCCCAGGGCCAGACAAGTTTGATGCTCCTTCTATAAATAATTCTTTATATAAGTCACTGTAAATAATAAAGTATGGTGTTTCTACACCGCAAGACTTATCAAGATACAACAGACTGTACACAGCAGCTCACTTGCCCTGAGGCAGCTCAGTTGCTGCTTCAGGCATGAGCTACAGTGCTCAGCCAATAGCAGCTGTGTGAGGATTAACACAGGATTTCTCCCCTTCTGCTTGTCAGAGAGAATTAGCAGCCATTAGAACACAGTGGGTACATCTACATGTGCAATTAGGGTGGAGTAATAAACTCCGGCACAATTCACGCCAGAGTCAACTACTCCCAGATGCAGCATCTACACATGTGCCCGGGACTGTAGCACTTTGAGTTGAAGTGGAGCAGCCCTGGGCTGGCAGGAGGTCTGGCAGGGGTCAGTCCTGTGCTCTGGGTGGTTGTGTTGGGCAGTGGAGGGGCTGGCTGAGGCAGCCTCCACACTTCAGCATCCCAGCTAGCCCCTATCACTGTCTACATGTGCATTTCAGTGCATGTAAGTACTCTGCTGTAAAATAGTACTGTCCCTGACAATACTGTCTTATGGCAGAGTTAGAGATTTTTCTGCACCCTAATACCGGCACACGCATAGATGGTGACACTTTACTGGGGAGCTAATTAGTGTACTCCCTCCCCCCCCCCTCACTAAAGTGCACGTGTAGATGCACCCAGTGTCTCCCAGCTTTTATTCTTTCCTGATTCTATTCCAGCGAAGAAAATCAGTTTCCCTGCTTAAGACATGAAACCTAATTTTGGACCACTCATTTTGGGGAAAAGTGTGTGTGGTATAAAGTAAAATATGGTAAGAGACAGCCAATAAAAGGAGGTGGTCCTCTCATCTGTTCATTGTTAGGACAATTCTCCTGAAGACTTCCTGGAGGTCTCCCAACTGTGCCATCATTATCCCGTGTAGTGATTATGTCTGGCTAATAATTAGGCCTGCGCAAAGTGGCTACTGTTCGCTTTGGATTCGGCCAATTCGGGGGACAGTGATTTGATTTGGTGATTCGAATCACTGTCCCAATTCAGTGCTGTCGATTCTCCAAATTAACCAGGCCAGGCCCATCCCCTGCTCCTCTGCCAGCCTGGCAATGACTGCCCCAGCTCCCAGCACTTGTTTGAAAAAAAAAAAAGCAAAAAAAAAAGCTCCAACTCAGGGGGTGCTGCCAGGCGGGGGACGATCTCTGTTGCCTCCCACTGCCCCACACTGCATGGGGGGGGGCTTTGCACAAGCCCCCCACCTACTCTCCCAACCCTCCCATGGGTGCTCAGGTCTCACAGGTCTCTGAATGGATTTGAGGAAACTCCCTGCTCCTACTGTCTCACTTGTTCTGGGCGTTGGTCTTTTCAGAAAGCATCACAGCCTTCCTGGGGACAAAGGAAGTTGTCCTGGTCAAGAGTGTCCAGCTGCAGATCAAATCCAAGTATGAAGACTACATCATGGTACGTGCTGGCAACTCTGGCATTTCATCTCACTGCTTCCAGTAACCAAATCCATAATCCCTGTGACAGGCTCATGACTACCATACCAGCTGATGGGCATGCCCTGCCTTGTGGGCTACATCACGCCTGGGTTTATTCTCCTACCACGGCTTATTGTTATACTGGGTTTTGCCCATGGAGGTGGCACTCAGTGGTTTCCATAGGACCTAGGGCAACTCTGCTGGCATGTCTTCTGTGGGGCTTCTCCTCCCCTACACCCCATCCCTTTCCACTCCGGTGTTTAGTATTGGCTGGATGACACTCAGGTTCAGTGACAGAGCTCTCTCCTCCTGCACTAAGGTCCAGTGATGAGGATGGGTGCAGGGGGTTTGGCTGCAGTTCTGTATGCTTGCAAAAATAACAAAATAATGACAATTCAACTAAAATAACTTGGATGGTGTGGTGGGCAGGGCAACGATGCTCTCACACTGAGCACTTTCCTTCAGTGTGTGGGTGTCTCGGTGCCTGATGCACCCTTCTCCCACAGATTCTTAAGTTAACGATGCCCCATGCTGGGCATGTTTTCTGGTCCGGGTCAGGCACAGCTGGTGAACTCGGAGACAGGTGGGGCAGGTGGCATTGGTGGAGGGAGAAAAAAAAATTGTGGGGGAGATGGGGGAGCTGAATACACATGGACATGCATGCATGCACACCCACCCTGCAGGGAAGTCTGTGAGGAAAGGGGGAGGGAATGAAGCTGGGACCAGGCAGGGATTGGAGCAGAGCTGGGGCCAGGGTCCACTGCACCTGTCCCTTCCCCTGCGCCCAGCATCATTGCCCGGCTCTGGTGGCCCCTGTAAATTTGCCACCTGGCCCCTGCCTCAGCTCCACACCACCTGGGGTGGCCCGGAAGGGGGCCAGCCTCAGCTGCACTGCTGGCCGGAGGGGATGGAGCCCGTGAGACCCCTGTGCCCACCCTGCATCATCCCTGGGAAGAGCCCGGTGTCTCCTCCAGGGGCACGGCACTGGGCAGCTAAGGGGGGCCTGTAGCCCCTCAATCTTTGCAGGGTGCATGGGTAGGCTACAGCTGTAAGCTGTGCTCTGCCTGCTCCATGCCTCACTGCTGCCTTTGAAAGCAGTGCAGTGCCATGCAAGTCCCGCCGCTGGGCGGGCTGGGCAGCGAGGCACATGGTGCGGCACCGCACCGCACCGCTTTCAAAGGCAGCAGCGAAGCATGGAGCAGGCAGAGCGCAGCTCACAGCTGCAGCCCACCTGTGCCTCATGCAAAGATCGGTGGCCCACGAGCCCCCCTGGGCTGCCCAGCGTGTCCCTGGAGGAGCCGCCAGGCTCTGATTGTCCCATGACCAGGCCTGGCCAGTGCCCCATTCACTGTGAATGGAGCCCCAGCCAGGCCGGGTTGCGGGGCAGTCGGAGCCAGGCGGGTCATCCTGGGACTGGCACGTAGGGGCCAAAAGGGGGAAATCTCTCCCAGCTCCCCTGTAGTGCACATGGCAGCAAGGAGCCGGCTCTCCCCCTCCCCTACCCCGGTCTGGGTTCTGCCTGGCCAGGTACTGTAATGCTGCAGGATGCATCCTTCCATTCTTACACAATGCTCACAGTTCCACCAGTCCCCTGCTGGGATGCTGTGGGTCTGTGGACGCTAAGCCAGGATGTGTGGTGCCAGCGGGCTCCTGTGCTGGGTTCTCCCATTGGCAGGCTCTGACAGTGCCCACTGGGCCACCCTCTCCCTGCCCCAGTTGACCTGCATTTCATCCTGCAGGGGTCGTTGCAGGTGCTGGAGAGTGGTGTTGGGTTTGAGCCACTTGGCCCGCCAGCTGTGACAATCAGGCTGACACCTGATGAATCCACTGTGCCCACAGGTGATCCGGGCTTTCAGGTTTTTTCCAGGGAACTTAGCCTTGGGGAGAGTGACCGGCTTCCTGCTGGCTATATGGCATGTGTCTGGATCCTCCTTGGACACTGGTGGTGGGACGGGCACGTGCTGCCCCTCTGGATATACTGGCCCAGCAAAGATGCTCTGGGTCCCTTCTGGCCACAGGGAAAGCATCCAGCTCCACTGCTGGTGCTTCCACGTTTCTCCCCTGGCTCTGCTTCTGGGTTTCCTTTAAGCCCAGAGCCTTCGGGCACTGGACCAATTGTTGGAGCTTCTTCCAGTCATGTGGTGCCAGCCATCAGTTCACTTGCAGACCAGCCCCAGCCATGTCAATGCTGGCACTATGGTGAATAGGGATGGTGCCTGTCACATACTCCCTGCCTGATTGATGCCTAGGCTGCCTCTGACCAATTGGTCTCCTCTAGACTCGAGGTCGTGACTTGGATGTACATGAATGCTCAGTACTTTCCCCCTCTTCATGTCAGCAGCAAAGGAAACCCACCACCACATGCTTCTTTCCGGGCTGGTGGTGTACTGTAAAGCAAAAGGGTCGCAGAGCTAAGCCCACTGCATGATCCAGGCATTGTCAGTTTCTGCTGACTATTTTAACCAGTGTGAAGGGCCGACCCAACAAGTAATACCAGAATAGCTCCACTGCCCATTTTATGGCCAGACATTCCTACTCAATGGTGGAGTACCAGCGTTCATGAGGGAGCAACTTACAACTAGCATAGGTTATCAGTTGCTGCTCAGATTCTTTTCCCTGTGTTAAGACTGCCTCCACTGCAGTTCCTGAGGCATCAGTCTGTAAAACAAAGGGTTGGTTAAAATCTGCAGTATACAAGATGGGACTCTGGCACAGAGATAATTTGATCCTGCTGCTCCCAGCACTCCTGTACTATATCGAGCAAGCCCCACGGCTGATACTCATAAGTAAGCTCAAAAGGTGAAAACGCCATGGAGAATTGAGAGGCATCTTGGATAGTAAACATCAAGGCTACCAGCTTCGGGTCCCACTTCTTGGGGTCCCCCTGTATATATTTCCTTAACATCAGCTTTAAGGTGCAGTTGAATCGCTAAACCAACCTGTCAGTATGGGGATGATAAACTGACGTTTTGAGGTGCTTCACTTGGAGAACCTTGCAGACTCCCCTCATTACCCTGGCCGTAAAATTTGTGCCTTGGTCTGTCAGAATTTCATTAGGTATCCCCACCCTTGCTATCCATTTAAGCAGCTCATCTGTGATCTTTGGGGTCGTCATTGAGTGGAGTGGTATGGCTTCTGGGAAATGACTGGCTTAGTCCATTATTACCAGTACATACTGATAAACCATACTGCTCTTCAGGAAGGGGCCCACAATATCCATAGTGATCTGCTTAAATGGCTTTTCTACAATGGGCGTGGGGACCATGGGAGCTACAGTGGGTGTATCAGTTGTGGACACCTGGCATACTAGGCACATTTGATAGTAGCGCTGGACTTCCTTATAGACCCCTGGCCAAAAGAACTGCTGCAACAGGTGGGCCTGTTTTATCCCTGGCCAGGTGGCTGCCCATGGACCCATCATGTGCCAATCTGACTAGGAGGGCCCTGTACCATTGTGGCACCAGCAACTAGTCTATCTTCTGTTCTGGCCCTTTCCCTTTAGCAATGCGATTCAAGAGGTCATTTCTTACCTCAAAATGTGGAACCTGGGTGGCCTGGGTTTGGTGTAGCAACTCATCATTACAGAGCACTAGACCTTCATCACAGGCATGCCAGAATGTGGGGTTGTTAAGCTGGTCCACCTGAAATGGTCAGGAACCAATGATATCCTCCAGGTTGGGGGGTCCCCCACATCCTCCAGGGGTGGGCCCTCTGTGTCCTCCAGTGCATGTTTACTATTCCTGTGTCTTTGTCCTTGGTAGTCCCTGTGAGGGTGGTCTGCAGCCCCTCTGCTAGGTATGGCCAGTCATGGCTGAGTGGAGTGGGGCGGGGCGGTGATGTGAGATTCTGATAGGCATTTCCTAAGTCCTACCCAGGATGATCACTGGCAATTGGTTTTGCTCATAAGTCTGCTGGCTGCCATGCATGCAGACCAGTGTTTTGCCTGTGGTTGGAGTGCCGGCCTGTTTGGGTAAGGCAGTTGCATGGATTAGGGTCTGTGCTCATTAGGCCTGTGCGAGTTGGCAGAGATCTGATCCAGCTTCAGATTCCGCCGCTTCAGATGGCAGTGATCTGATCCAGAGCTCCGGACCGGGTTTCTGCCTCGATCTGGCCGAAGCGGCTCCAAAGCTTTGGAGCCGCCTCGGAGATCCGGCCATAGGGTATAATGGGGGAATCAATTAAATATCTGTAACTTTATTGTTTTTTGTCTGATTTGGATGAAACATGCAGGGATGGTAGCCTCTGCTGACAGCATGAAACCTGCCAAGTTTCAAGAAGATCAGTGCAGGCGGTTTGGGGGATCTGTACCCTAAATTCTTGAAAGCCAAACTCCTGTCACGTCTATATGTTACACCACAGGGACATCAAAACGGCCGGGGTGGTAGCTCTTACTGAGGCCACAAAGCTTGACAAGTTTCAAGAAGATCAGTGCAGGGGTTTGGGGGGAACTGCACCTCAAGCTGCGGACAAGCAAAACTCGTGACATGGGTAACACTGTGTGTGTTAAGGCACAGCCGGGTGACAGCTGCAGGGATGGTGGCCCTTGCTGAGGCCACGATGCCTGCCAGCTGTCGAGGAGCAGGGGGTTCTGGGGCCCTGCACCCTTAGCTGCTGACAAAACTCATGCCATGGGTGCTTGTGGGACCGACAGTGTCTGTCTTGGGGCAGTTGATTGTCTGTATTGATTCTTTCCTCTCCTTAGTCTGGTTTTGTAGGTGCCAATTGAGGGCAATTAACTGGCTACATTAGCTAGGTCCTGTATATTGAGCTGGTCCCTGAGTGAATCATGATTGATTGGTAACTGGTACCACAGTAGCTTAGCAGCCAGGCCTGCAGTAGCGTCTCCCATGCCCCAAGACAGACACAATCAGTCCCACAAGCACCCATGGCATGAGTTTTGCCTGTCAGCAGCTAGGGGTGCAGGGCCCCAGAACCCCCCTGCACCGATCTCCTTGACAGCTGGCAGGCGTCACAGCAGGGGCCACTATCCCTGCAGCTGTCACCCCGCTGTGACATGAGTTTTGCTTTCAAGAATTTGGGGTGCAGTTCCCTCCAAACCCCTGCACTGATCTTCCTGAAACTTTGTAGGCTTCATGCTCTTTGCAGTCTACCACCCCTGAAAATTTAATCCAAATCAGACAAAAAACAACAAAGTTATAGATATTTTATTGTTTCCCTGTTACACCCTATGGCTGAATCTCCGAGGCAGCTCCAAAGTGCTTCGGAAGCTCTGAACCACTTCGGGAAGCCTAACAAGGCCAGTGCTTCGACCCGGACATGCTGCTTCAGACACCAAAGCGTCCCAAGCTTCTCCAGATCCGAAGCTCTGTCCGAAGCCTCGCATAGCCCTAGTGCTCATCCAGTGTCCATCACGGCTGTAAGAGTGCACCCTCTGACTTGGGCATCCTCTCAGCAGGCTTCAGACACCTCACCCCCACATTTGTGCCAACATCCAGGGCTGCCAATGCTCTTTGATCTGTTTGCCTCAGAACTGTTTCCTGTAATGCTCCGGGGATAGCTCCAGTTGGTACAGTATGGTGTCTTTGACTGTTTGATAGTCCAAGGCCTCTGCGTGTGAGAGCGTGGAGTATGCAGCTTGGGCCAGGCCCATTAGGAGTGGCTCCATCTAAGTGGCCCACCAGTCCATATCTTGGCCTGCTGCTGTGGCCAGGCATTCAAATGATTCTAGGTAGGCTTCAGGGTCATCCTCTTTGACCATCCTGGGCATATGGAAACTCTCACCTCCAGTCACTTGGGCCCAGGCTAGCTGCTCTGCCAAGTCTCCCTGGCTAGCTGCTGGGAGAACAAGGCTCCATGGGCCTCCGTCTCCCAGGACTTTGCCTTGGTGAGCTCCTGTAACAGCTGGAGGATCATCTCCTGTGTCTGCTGCCAGGTCTCATCTGGCCTCTTGGCCCCCATCTTGTCCATGGCCAATTGGTCCGTGATTCATGGTTGTTGGTAACCACCGTTCACCTTGTTTTTCTGGCATGTGCATCAGTGTGACGGGTTCATGAGCACCATACCAGCTGGTGGGTGTGCCGCACTTCCTGGGCTACATTGCACCTGGGTCTATTTTCCTGCCACAACTTGTTGTTTTACTGGGTTTTACCTACAGAGGTAAAACAGAGGTTGTTTTACTGGGTTTTACCTACAGAGGTAAAACAGAGGTTGTTTTACTGGGTTTTAGTGGTTCCCATAGGACCCAGGGCAGCTCTGCTGGCATGTCTTCCATGAGGCTTCTCCTCCCCTACGCTCCACCCCTTTCCACTTGGGTGTTTAAGATCATTCTGGATGGTACTCAGCTTCAGTGATAGGGCTCTCTCCTGTGTTAAGGACTGATGACGTTTGCAGGGGCTCTGGCTGCAGTCCTGTATGCTTGTGAAAATTACTAGATAATGACAATTCAACTAAAATAGCTTGGATGGTGTGGGGGCAAGACAATGATGCCGAGCACTTCCCTTTAGTGTGTGGATGTCTCTGTGCTGGGTGCACCCTTCTTCCACAGATTCTTAAGTTAGCAATGCCCCTTGCCGGGCATGCTTTTTGGTCTGGGTTCTGCCTGTTCAGGTACTGTAATGCTGCAAGACATGTCCCTCCATGCCTGCACAATGCTCACATTTCTGCTAATCCCCTGCCAGGGCACTCTGGATCTGCAGACACTCAGCTGGGATGTGCAGTGCCAGGGGTGTCCTATGCCAGGTTCTCCCCTTGGCAAGCTTCAGCAGTATCCACTGGGCTGCCCTTTCCCCACCGCAGTTGACTTGCGTATTCCTGCGAGGGTTGTTATAGATTCCAGAGAGTGGTGTTGGGTCTGGGCCACCTGGCCTGCTAGCTGTGTCAATCAGGGTGGCACTTGGTTGAATCCTCAGTGTCCTGGGCCATCTGAGTTTTTTTGGGGAACTTAACCCTGGGGAGAGCGACCGGCTTCCTGCTGGCTATATGGTATGTGTCCGGATACTCCCCAGATGCTCTTGTGGCAGGATGGGTACGCACTGCCCCTCTGGGAGTGCTGGCCCTGCACAGATGTGCCAGGTCCCTTCCAACCACGGGGAGAGTGTCCAGCTCCGCTGCCAGTGCTTCCACATGTTTCTCCTCCAGCTCTGCTTCTGGGCTTCCTTTAAACCCAGATTCTTTGGTCACTGGACCCAACTGGCCATGTGGATGCCAGTGCCATAGTAAGTAGAGCTGGAGCCTGTCACAATCCCCAGTCTCATGTTTTCAGTGCCCTGGATTTGCAGAATGGCAAAAATTGCTGTTTAATCACCTACTTCCCTGCTCCTTCAGGAATGCAACACTCTGCAGTTTCATGTGCAAGGACAAAAGTGGCACAACAGACCAAAAACAGTGATTAGATGATGAAATCAATAGATGATTGTACGTAGAAAAGACTATTTGGCGCACACTGTGTGATTTGATGAGTATGAGTCTGAACCCATTATTTCCAGTCTGGGGTTTCTGCACTGTGCTGCGCTTGAGGAGGGGCAGTATAGTATAGCTGCAGTATAGTTTAATTACATGCTTACCTGCTCCATCCCCAGAAATGCATCACCTGGCCATTTTTTTCAGCCTGTCAGGTAACATTTAGGAGCCACTAAAAAAGTTGCAACTAATAATGGACACTGTTACAAGTTCTTAAATCCAGCTCCTGTCTGTTAGTCTGAAGATGGACTGGATTTTTCCTCTTGATCCCAGATGTGATTCTGATTTCTCTTCTGTGCAGGTCCTAACCCCTTGGAGGGCATACGTGCTGCAAGTAATACTCCCAATCAGGGTAAGTGCTTTTTATATTATTCTGGATTGGTCACTAACAGCAAGTTTTGCTATTCACCATGCAATAGCATTATGCTTCTCCCAAACTTTAAGAACAAAAGAGAAGAAAAGCCATCTCTAGGGCACAGCCTGTGGGGTGGTTATGGAGGCATGGGGGTGTTAACTTCTTCTGAAAAGTGAGGAAGATATTTAGATATTAATTTTCCAAGATAAAGTCCACTCCTACTCTTGCCAGACTGATATGGCCAAAACGTTGGGAGAAGCCACTTAGGATACATACGGTTGGTGCATATATACAGCCTGGACTCATGACTTCTCTGGGATTTGGCTTTAACAGCAGCTGAAGTGGCAGCACGGCGAAGTGAACATCAGATTGAGCTTGGCTCTTCCCTGTAGAATCTTTTCTGTCCCAGACCTTCATTTCCTCCTGCACTTCCCAACATCCTGGTAAATTTAATGAGCAGCTCCTGGTGCACTGAGCCAGTGCTTCCCACCCAAGCAATTTTAGGCATACGTGTGAACCAGGGTGATAACTTATCCTGGCCAGGCTGTCCCTGAGCTGTCCCTTTCCCACTCACTACGTTACACATGCTTCAAACCCAGAATTATACTGGTGATGAAATTCTGGTGATGAAGGGGCATCCCTCTGCACTTGCTCTTGATACTTTGGTCTCTGTGCCTGACTCTTGGAGATGCCTCTGGAGCATCTTCATTGACATAGTTCTGGGCTTGGAACATGCCAGCTAGAGCACTCAGCAGGGCAGGGCATGATTAATGCCATTCATACTGAGGCAAGCTGCTGCTATGGTGTAGCTGGGGAGGGGAGAAGGGGAAGAAGGAGTGGGAGGGAGTACTGGCAGTCACCTTTTCTCCTATAGCCCTCTTAAGAAAAAGAGTAACTACCACTGCATTTTGGGTGGAGTCAGATGGTGTAGGCAAGCTCGGGAAACACCCAGAGCTGGTTCAACCATTAGGCGAACTAGGCGGTTGCCTAGGGCACCAAAATTTGGGGGATGCCAAAATTATATGCAGAACAAAATAACAGGAACATCATTCTAAATAACAGCCCTGGCCGGCTGTTATAACTGTGTTAGGGTTAATGAAAAGTGTGAAACAATCAATAAAAAAAAATAGTTTTTGTTGTTTTATTGTTCATTTTGAACATCAAATAAGTACATGTAAAAGTTCATTCTAGACTTCTTATTTTCCTCTGTATTGGAATGGTGGGGCGCCGAGGTACACAGTTCACCTAGGACACCAATTAGCCTTGGACCGACCCTGGAAACACCTGCTGCCTCATGCTCCTCAGGGGACTGGGTGATCAATTAATTCCTAGATTCAGATAAGGCTTTGGGGTGAGATAGACACCAAGCTGCTTCACAGAATCATAGAAAATTTGGGTTGGAAGGGACCTCACGAGGAGCGACCTCCCAGGGCTTTGTCAAGCTGGACCTTAAAAACCTCCAAGGATGGAGATTCCACCCCTCTCTGGGTAACTTGTTCCAGTGCTTCACCACCCTCCTAAGTGAGAGTTTTTCCTAATATCCAACCTAGACCTCCCTTGCTGCAACTTGAGACCATTGCTCCTACGCAGAACAGTGTGCTCCGTCCTCTTTGGAACCCCCCTTCAGATAGTTAAAGACTGCTATCAGATCCCCTCTCAGTCTTCTTTTTTCCAAACTAAATAAACCCAGTTCAGTCTTGTGAAGAGAGAAGTGCTTCTGGATAGGTGCTAAGGCAGATCATGAAAGCTCTTTGGGGCTTCACTGTTCAGAAACCTTGTGATTCTGACTGTGGTTCTGGCATTGTCTGATATACCTCTCTCTTGTGAGGAAATGGATGCTAGCTGTGGAGCTGTGCAGCATGTTCTCTTCCAGCCTGAGACACTGACACAGTTGCTTTCTCTGCAGGTTCCCCACAAAATTCTGGTTTATTCCATTTCTAAGGGGAATAGATAAAGGAGGAGTTGCTGGCAGAATCTGTCATTGCACATTCACAAAGTGGCTTTGGGCAGACTGTGCATCTGTGACCACATAGGAGAGCTTATGTTTGTGTATACCCGCGTGTGAATAGGTATGGCCACGAGTACCTGTGTGCTCATAGATGTGAAACATTGCCAGGCACACAAGAGTGAAGCTGGAGCTGCAGCCCTGCTACTTCGGTATTTCTGGTCTGGCCAACCAGTCATCAGACCCATTGCCTGTAGCTGGAATGACGAGTGCTTGGGTCCGCTGGGAACCAGATCTGGGCCTTCAATGCATTCTTAATGCTGTAAAGGTAGCAGTTGCCTTTGGCATAGAGCGTGGATTCAGGATAAAGCTTGTGGGGGAGACCTGGGCTATGAGGCAGGAGAATGAGGCTGAGAGGTAGGGGCAAAGTTCAAGCTGAGGAAGGCTGGACAAGGGGGTCCATGTGTGGATGCAAGGGGCCGGGCCCGTGCTGTGGGGTGCCAGCTTGGGCTGAGTGTATGCACTGGGGCGGGCTGGAGTTAGGATATTCTGTCTGAGGTGTCTGGAAGAAAGACAAGGTGTGCACATTGGGAGCAGGGTTCATAGGGATTCACTGTCTCTGCTGCTCCCCGGGCCAGAGCAAGCTGCTGCCTGCTCCTGGGTGCCAGGACTTGGGCTGCAGGTGATGATGACACCATGGTATGATGTGGGATGCAGCCCCTCCGAGGCAGGAAGCGGGAAGCATAAGGTGGAAGTTGCCTGCTGGTGACTGAGTCTCTCTTTCCAGGTGCAGAGCAGCTTCAGCTTCCTGGAGGTGCGAGAGATTGTAGTCTGCGAGCCTAGCCTGGTAAGTGCAAGCACAGCAGAGAGTTTCTCCTCAGGGGCCTGCCTTGGAGCTCCTGAGCAGGCCTGGCCCTGGCCTTGGCCCTGGCATTGTCTAGGTGCACTGGTACAGCCTGGTCAACTGTGCACAATGCCCTCTCTTAGTGAGCTGAGAGGTCCTGGAGGGAAACTGAATGCCTCTAGGATGTGTGGTACAAACACCCAGCACTGGGAAAGCAAGGTTTGTTTGGCGGTACCTTTTACTGGGCCTACCAGAGAATTGGGAGAGAGATTAAACCAGTTTTTGGGTACAAAATGGAGGCTCATTCCAACTCCCTACCAGCAGGTGAGTGATCCTTAGCAGAGCTCAGATCAACCTGGGGGGACAGTGTGACTCTTATTTACTTATGATGAATTTATATGGTGTCAGGAATCCTGTGCTAGATGTTGCACACATGCTGAGTGGAAAGACAGCAGCACAATGCCCACTGGGGTCTTCTGTACCAACCCTGAGCTTTGTTTAACTGATCTGTACCACCAGGGTCACATCAACGTGTTTGACTCCCTAGGCTCCCTTATTCAGTCAAAGTAAATGCAATTGAACTATTGCCAGCTCTGCTGCTGACCTGCACTGTGACCTGGGAAGAGTCATGTTACATCCCTGGATCTGTTTCCCCATTTTAAAATGGGGGCAATATCTACTGAGCTTTAAGATCTACAGTGGTTGTTTACTACTTTTCCTCAGTGAACTAACAAAATCCTGTTACGGAAATACTAGAATTATCCTAGGGATAATTGTCTACAGGAGCCAGGAGAAAGATCTATAAATCTAGAATCACCCATAGTCACACTATGATAGGATAGGTCTGAGTCACAGAGTTGGCTTTGTTTGGATCGCCTAACATTATTTTCTATTGGAAAGCAAAATGCAGATTGATAAATGCTGCAATTCCATGTTTTACTTCTCAGTCCAGTGTATTAAATGCACTACCATATGTTGCAGATCACATCACTGTAAACATTCCAGCAGGAAAGATAATACAGTACAACAGTGGTTTTCAAACTTTTTTTTTCGTGGACCACATGAAAATTGCTGAGAGTCTTAGCAGACCACTTAATAAACTTGTTTTTTTGTTCTACAAATCAAAGCACACGACTCATATTTTAATATTGGTAACCTTACCTTACAAGTACAGATATTCTCAATTGTTCTGCAACCTTTCTGCGGACCACCTGACTGGAGCTCGGGGACTAGTGATGGTCCATGGACCACAGTTTGAGAACCTCTGCAGTACAAAATTTGACAAGTCCATTGCTTTCTTTCATATTTCAGTAATAATTCATGCTTTGTAGGGACCTGATGAATGCAAGTTGATAAACTGCACTTGGCTTACACAGTCAAATCCAAATTTAGCAGAAGGGAATTTAAAACTTTGTAAATCCTCTTATGGAGAAGATTACGTATATGGCAAACCTAACTGTTAGGGTGACCCATAAAAATGCTGATATAGAAAATGCCATTCTGAGTATGAATTGTGTCAAAATTAAGACCACAGCCACTGTTAACCTGGATTTCTTATGTATTTGCTTAGTTGACTAACTTATATTTCTCTTGTCATTGAAAACTATAGCCTAGAACTGGAAATACAGTATCTGATGTTAGAAATTATGGAAACAGTCTGATTTTTTTTTTTTTTTTTTTTTTATTGTGCTAGAGCAGGGGTAGGCAACATATTTTGGCCAGAGTGGTGAAAACCCCCAGAATGCTTTGGGGCCGGCTGCAGTCGGGAGGCTACAGACAGCTGCTGCCCTCCCGGCCCTGGCCCCAGCCCTGGGCTCCGGGAGGGCAGCAGGTGCCAGCACCACGTCTGTTGGGGCCGGGAGCGGGGAGGCAGCAGCTGTTTGTAGCCTCCCAGCTGCAGCGGGCCCCAGCTCTGGGTAGCTGCTGATAGTCACGGAGTCCAGGCTGCTCCCAGCAGGGCTTGCAACATCCCTGCTGTCTGCTGTGAGCAGCCCGGGCTCCTGGCTGTCAACAGCTACCTAGAACCTGGGCTGGCTGCAGCCGGGATGCTACAAACAGCTGCTGCCTCTCTGGCCCCAATGCGTGCCGAGGAAAATGGCCTCTCGTGCCATGCTCGGCATGCGTGCCGGGGGTTGCTAACCCCTGTGCTAGAGCATTGTGTGTGGAATATCAAGTGGGAAAATTAATTACAAGAATCAAAGGTTGAATTAAAGAAAAATTGCTAGGGATGATATGAAAAGCATTGTTATTCATGAAGGTATTCAGGAAGGAGGAGCTCAGGTGGATTGAAATGTGTTATGTAAGCTGGAAGATTGGCTTTAGTCAAATACAAGCCATAACACTGAGTACATGGATGACTTGGTGAATTCTTATTGTCCATGTTACCTGGGAGTTCAAACTATTATTTTATCTGGTGTGAATCTCTGAAAAAAAATTAATTGGGCAATGTTCAGACCTAGCCTGTGTAGGTGTAAATACAGTGACTTCATGGGAGCTGCCCCTACTTCCAGCAGGTCAGAAGTTGGCAAGGCAGTGGGGAAAAAATGGAGTTCACTTGTTTTATGGACTACCATGAGAGCTCACCTGGCATGGAATCTGCTGCCCATTTTTACCTTGTCAATGGTGATTTAGGATGGAGGTACCATTTGCAGTGCCATAATTAAGGCTGATTTGAGTTTTGCACTTTATCATTGATTAGAGTTAAAATTAAATTTAAAATGTGTCCTTTAGAAATGTAGCATTCTGCACTTGACCTTTTCTCCCTTTGTTTTAAACTCTAATAACACAGACTGCATGGAGTGCCCCCATGCCTTTTAAAACAATATAATTTAGCTGAGATCACAAATACTAAAATGTCATCATCACATGGTTATGATATGGTGTTAGTATAGCGCATAGCTAAGGGTATTTCTGTCCTTAAGTTGTATACTTTTTGCACTTTATTGGGGTTGGTTTTCTTTAACTTCAACCTTAATGTGGAATTTCTTGGGTTTGTAATGCTTTCTTTTTCAACTAATTACACTATTGTTTATATAGTTACCTGAATTACTGATATTACTCTCAGCCTCAACTCCATTTGAACATAGTTTTCATCTATCATCATATGTAATAATGCTAAGACTTTTTCATACCTCTGTAAATTGTCTCTCTTAGCTTATGGCTTTTTTCATTTGCTCTCATTACTGAAATATCTGAGAATTTTTATAATTCATAGATTCATAGATGCTAGGGTTGGAAGGGACCTCAATAGATCATCGAGTCCAACCCCCTGCATAGGCAGGAAAG